TTAACACGGACACGACCGTCAAAGCTTCTAGAGGATTCTAGAAGCTTCTCGATCGCGCACGATTCTCAGAATCGAACTTCAAATTCTTGGAATCCAACGTAAAATTACTAGACTCCTCCATAAATTCCTAGAAAATAAGGGTCACAGTGACGTCACTTCCGGAAATCGTAGAGCTCACGACCGCAACTTAAGGTATTACTACGGTAAACTCAAAACCGCGTAATCGAGCTGAAATTTATTTTACGTCTAATTTGTATAGCAGTACATCTCTCTACAAATTTTTAACACGATTCACTCATCAATTTACGAGTATTTCCGAGTTAAAGTCAGGACTCGTAACACGTATTCCCTATACCTGGCCAATAAAACGCGCATGGTTCTTTTTATTTCATTTGACTCGTCCGCGTAATTCCGATGAAAAACTAGTATGTGGCAAAGGAAAAAATTAGGAATTTTTTAGATTTTTAGTCAGAACTTTTTACTCATAGGATTTATTGATAGACATGAAAGATGTTCGATATTTATTACGAAATTTCTCGTACGAAGGCTAGACAAAAGAGCGTTACGGTAACATTGCGTTTGAGACTGTATTCGGTGTATACACTACTACATCCAATGTACATTAGTGTGCGCCTATCGATGCAGGGATGGGCGTGTGTGAGTGAACTGTACCAGTTCAAAAGTTGACGCTGGATTTTTCAAATCTTACATTGACACTTTTGTTATTTTTCGGTCCGTAGTAATACCTTAACGTAGGTTTTCTTTTATTTTTAAAAATTCTTTGACAGGGAAAATACGTATTCCACGATGACTGATCCAGCACAGGTTAAAATCAGCCTCATAGCAACACCTACTCACCGGTTAACAGACTATCTTATCAGTTCAAAAGTTGACGCTGAATTGACCAAATCTTACATTGAAATTTTTTTTTTTTTTCGGTCCGTAGTAATACCTTAACACGGACCACGGTCTTACATACAAGTCTTGCAACGAGACCAATTTTTAGTGGTGGGGGTAGTCCCGCTTACTGTCCAAATTTTGTGGTTCTTCGGCGCGTCGCCGCTAGTACAGGTGTGCTCTCCCCCTTTGCCGCTCACGTAACACAAGCTATGACGCGCAAGCTATCGTCCATCTCTGTCGCATACCCCTGTATTGGTGGCGCACCTTGTGTCGTAAATTGGAGTTAGTGAATTTGGACACTAAGCGGGACTACCCCCACCACATTCGTTTCCAGACCTGTATGTAAGACCGTGGCACGGACACCCTCCTTTGAAGGTTCTAGAGTGTCGGTAAATGTCGGTTACAGGAATCCTGGTCCAGAACCGGCCAACTTATACTACTTATTTTGTTCAAGTTACCTTTGCTAGTATGTTCGCGACATACATTTCCGAGAATAATAACTCGGAAGAATCTACTTTGCTTGCTCCAATTATTGTCGAACTTTGCTGGACACTTCTCGGCGTTATTATTTCATTTCTACCCAGTCAGCATACGTCTTCGGGATATCCTAATTCTATTCCGAATGTCCCAAAACTATCCTGACAATCTTAGAATATCTTCGGGATGTCCTGCCTCAGATACAGAATCTTAGTGTTATTGGCCTCCTGTAAGCAGACCTTGCGGGCTGGCTCGCGACGTCATCTACGCTCCGTTTAAACGCGTTCTGATTGGTCGCATTACTGCAACTTCAACCTTGATTATCTCGAAATTTTGATATATGAAATAAAAAATGAAAATACACGTATTCATTAGAATTTGGAAAGGAATGTAATAGTGTTACTACAGTGCGTTTCATAACGAACACCCTGTATATGTATGTACAGAGATGAGTAGGTTAGGTTAGGTTAGGAAACGTTCGCTGATTCATGTACCAATTTATTGGATGTATACGATGTAATATAATACAATATTTGTAGATTAATATTATCATGTATTTCATGAAACTTCAGTTAATTAGGTAAACCAATAAGCATAGTTGATAATTAAAAAAAAAGAGAGGTAAGACGTCAGTTTCGAACCCGAGACTCTCGGACGTTAACTCAGCAACAAGCACGTGTGCTATCGAGTCATTGTGGTGTATTGTTTAGCAAACTTATATTTCTGTAGTTACCCACGTTCGAGAGTTTTTTTTAAGTTTTATTTGCTTACTCTATTATTTCCAGAGCTTCATATGGATATTAAGAGTATTGACTACCTTATTACTACGGTTTATGTAATATCCTGTAAAAAAAAAGGTGCATACAAGTCTCCCCATTTGAGTGTTCACCCGGTTTAAAATCGCGGATGTCGAGGAATACACGAATTCATTCGACCAATCAAAAACGTGGAACTAGTTCGAGAGTCTCGTTCAGGTGGCGCGTCGACGCGCCAAAACACAGCTCCAGATTATCACGCGTAGTATTACTATATATACACGACCAATCAAAAACGTGGAACTGCTTCGTAGGTTTTGGAAGAATTCACACATACAAATCCTGGGTGTAGTCTTCAATTTCCTAACCACTAAACCCCGTTTTCTTCAACGCCACTCAATACATCAGAGATCAGTAGGGAGCACTGAAATATACGTACAGAGATGAGTAGGGAGCAGAGATGAGTGGGGAGATGCACAACAGAGATGAGTGGGGAGATGCACAACGCTATGGTTTTAGGCACGGTCTTTACAGAGATGAGTAGGGAGATTGCCAATGAGCCTGTTGTTGGTGATCGCAATGGATATTAAAAAATGCCATTTTTTGGGACATTTTTTACTACTTTTCTATTCGGCTGAATAATATTTAAACTATCAAAACGTGAAACAGCCTGCCATACGTGCGAGCGTTATCAAATTTGTTTTTAATCAGACCACGGCACGTTAAAACAAAAAATGAAATGGAGAAATGTATC